CCAGACAGCACAAGCTATTTACTTCAAAGCATAATGACAGCATTTTCTGGTAGCTACCACACAAGCTATTCAAACACAAGCTCATGTGCTGCATGGAATTTAAATGGAACTGCAAATAGCCATGAAAAGGGAAGGTAGAACTTTGGGTAGTGAATCTGAATGTAGGAGAGGGAAAAAATCCTTACTTTTTTTACTTATTTTTTTGATGTTGCTCTTCTTCTGTGCTGGGCCATAAAAATCTGTCAAGCTGAGGTATAACATGTTCTGACAATTGGATATGAAATGCAGTGGACCCAAAATACTGCTTGAAAACATGTTGTGAATCTACTTCCAGACCTGGTCACGCTGTACAGATGCCAGCACACTGGGAGTTGCCTGCATGCTTGCTTGTTGGCTGGGGTGTAGCCAATGTGTCTCCTTATGCACCTTACAGGAGCAGTACCATTCTGCGCTGCATGAAGGCAGCTATAGCCAAAGGAGCTCTGTAAATGGAGGAATGCAATGCTGGGGTTATTTAAAGATGGAGCCATTTGCCATGTAGTCTGATCCAGATTTGTGGTAACGGGTAGGGAGAAGAAAGGCCATTGGAAAGGTAGGAATTCAGACATTCATATGTACATGGGGTGATCTGCTCAGGCAGGCAGGCATTGTGACAGGAACTGGCAGGTGTAGCCAGAATTCTGTACTGGGGATGGCACCATTGCATCACTGTTGCATCACTGTCCCAGTTCCCTGCAGAAGATAGCCAGTCCTCTCTTCAGCATGCAATATTTGTCTTTTCCTGCTGCAGACCATGCTGGGGACCTGAAATTGATAAATCAGTGTTGATCTGATTAATTGCCCTCTGAGTAATTGTTTGCCCCATGAGATCCTGACATAAGCCTTCCTTCAGGCACTTTTTACCATCTGTGGTTCAGTATCTTGCCACTTCCTTCCATCCCTGACCTACATCCTTGTATCAGGGAGCTGTGTGCTTCAAGCTGATGCAGGCAGCATTTCTCTCAAACACGGGCACCTTGCATGGTTTGAGATGCTGTAGTCTAAAGGCAGGGTGGCAGAAGAGCTCAGAACGAGGTGGAGAGAGCAGGCTGGGCGGCGAGTACCTGTGCCAAGGATTGCTGAGATTGCAGGCTGGGTGTGGTACAGCACTGCCTCCTTGTCCCTGGGCAGCTAATGCTGTTGTGATGGAGAACTGGTCAGCCAGCATGCCTGGGTATGTGGTAGGATTCTTGCATTGGATGGGGAGAATCCAGCTTAGTTGCTTCCATCACAGCGAAGTTAAATTGAGAAACCTACCAGTCCCTTTGCTTTGAGTTTCATGTGGTGGTAAACATCGACTTGGCCTGTGGTAGAGCTGCCTTTTTGCTAAAGCCATTCAGACCTGTGTAAACCATGGAAACAGCTTGATATGGATTCCCTTAGTTTTGTTTTTTTTTAATATTAACACTGAAAGTATCTTTCAACTTGGGATAAATTGTAAGGCAAAGGAGCCCTACCATATGATAAGCTATATTTGGCCTCCAGTATAGCAAGCCAAAAAATGTACTCAATGATTATTTTGGTACTAGGGCATATAATCAGCATATTCTGTGCTTCTTGTTCAATCCATGATGATTTTGATGTCATGCCATGCTCAGAATGGTTGATCTTTGGTTATTTCTTCTTGATTTCTCTCCTGCTACAGGAATCACAGCAAACCTGAAAATAAACTAGCCCTCTGTGTGTAAACATTTTTAAAATGTCTAAATTTAAATAAAGACTTGATATGTCTACTCTTTGAAAAAAATTGATTTGACCTGGCAATTGCAAATTACTAAAGTATTAGGGGACTCTGTCTTTCAAAAACAAGATTAAACTGTTTTATAGCAGCAATTAAATTTGATTTTATGATACAGCCTTTTGCTCTCATTCTATCAAAAAAGCAGTGACAGAAGCAGAATATATTCAGCTGAATGGATGAGAGAAAAGAGACATATCATTTGGAAAGGGATGTTATTCAAAGATGGATAGAAATCACCCTTGTAAGGTATTTTCTTTATTATTTGGTGGCTCACATAGCTAAGTGGTTGAAAAATTGTTCAAAATCAATTCTGCCCATTACATAAGAGTACCACACCCAGTATAAGCAGCATTCATGAACAAACAGTGACTCAGAAATCATAGCCATAGTTTGAAGATGTAATATCTTAGGGTGGGATTCACTTTGTCTTATTTAGGTTCTTAAATGCCAGGGAACTCTGAGGCAATCTGTGTCTTTGCATTTTTTTAATGATACCTGTTTCCTGGGTAGACTATCATAGTTACAGCTGAGCTTGAAGCTCTGCACTGGGTATAAGCCAGATGAAAGTCCTTAATTAGAAAAGTCCTCAGTCTCTGTACAAAAGCAGATTTTTAAATGGAGCACTTACTTTTGTGGCATCAACAAATTCAAGTTGTTGTGCAACTTGGAAATGTTTTGGTTTCATGCACCAGTGTTAAATTGTTCTTTGAGAATACCTTCTAATTACTTAATTATTAGTTATCCTTTGAAAGTCAATATTAATGAAACCTAACTTGGCAGAACCAATGCTTTTATTTTAATATTAACAAACCGCATAGTTGTCAAAATCAGTGGGTCACAAGATTGTTCTGACATTCCATCCTGTATAGCAAATCAGTGTTGATTGCTGCAGCAGCTGCACAAATAGCTTAGTCAGAATGCTTCCAGTGTAATGTCTTCTGATGTAATTTTAAGAGGCCTGCAAGTCTAATAGAGGCATTTACAGCCTTGTACTCAGGTTGGACTCTTGCTGTTCAAGGAAACAGGATTATGCATTGCGGTGTGGCATTTTTATGTTCTGGAAGGGCTACTCTGAAGTGTAATTTGTCTTCAGTTCTTCAGTGGCACATGTTCCTTGTTATCCTCTGAATGATTTTTGAGGTGTTTGGGCCTTAGCTGCATACTGCAATTCTAAGACTTTTATTTATTTTTTTTTAAAGGAGGGATTTCACTGTGAAGGTTGATTGTGGATACAGAAGACATAGCAGGATTTCGGGATGGGCTCAACTCTTTTGAGGGAGCACCTCGTCATCTATTGCATGAGTGACTTGCGAGTAAACTCTCTATAAACACAAACACTTTGTGTAGTTCTGTAGATGTCAGTGACAACTCCAAAATAAGAAGAACTTTAGGATATTAAGAATTGATTGGAGTTTGAAACATAGTTGTGAAGCTAAACTCCAGACCTACAGCCCTTATTACAGTACAGTTCTAGAGTATGACATGCAAATGTTAAATTTCTAACTTGCAGAATGAAAGGCATAATTTTAAACTAGGTATTCCTATTCCTATTCCTCATATTCCCTATAACCTAGGGAACATAAATATTTATTTTTAATGTTTCCATGCTGTTATGTTACATTGGCTAGCTTTCTCAAAATCCTTATCACTAAATATACAGGTTTGGAAACAAAATACCATGCCATATATGAGATAAGGGTAGTTTTCAGATTCTATGTTTTTAAGTGATTATTGACAATTTTATTTCTAAGATACAGCTCCTAGTTTTCTGTAGGAACAGACTGTTCCTATAGAATACTGTATAAAGTACAGTTCTCCTAGGGGAATCACTATCATCCTTTCCCTGAATTTTGAAAATTTCCTTATCTTGAGTTGGTGTGCCATCATTAATTTTCTGTCACTATTTGTTACAGTTTAGAAAAAACCTTAAACACAAAAGAAGATTTTCATAATACCTAATTTTCTTCTCAGTCAGAAGATTGAAATTATAGCATTTGAATAAAAAGAAAATCTATGTTAAAGCTAATTACTTAATTTGTAGGATTTCTGGTGTTAGTGTGCATCCCTCTTGGAATTTAGAAAAAAAATGATAGGCTGAGAATGTAATAACTTAACAGATCCTAAAAGAGTTTCATCCTCCCCTTTGCTCTTTTTACCAAGCACAAATAAATTTTTTTTAGCACTAATTTCTTTAATTAGGAACCAATATCTTTGCTCTGGATGCATGAAGGTTCCACAGCAGTTTAAACTGTGTGCCTGAACTCCTGCACAGGATTGAGGATGGTCAGGATCCCCAAAGGGCAGTTCATAATTAGCTGGTGGCTGAACATGGTGACCTCTAAGCTCAAATAAATACAATTCCTAGTATTTGATTTCTGTTCCCAGCTGGCATAAAACCCATCTTTTTAACTGATAGCAGAATAAGATGTCCTTTTTTGAGTTGCATGTGGGTTATTAATCTGGGTTATTAGAAGAAATCTACCAAATTTGGTCCTTGCAGGGAATATACACACATGGGGGATCTAGTAGTGGCTCCAGGTGAGTATAGGCTTGAGCAAATCTTTGCGTTTTTTGGGTTTTGGGGTATTTTTGAAATTTACTTTGCTGAAAACTTGTAGTCAATTATTTTGGTTGTCTTAAGTCCTTTATAAGAAGTTGTTCTTGTTCACTTCTTTTTCACTCTGAATATGCAAACAAGTCCCATTAGTATAGTCCTGCCACTTGCCAAGGAATGGGAATTGATGTGCACGTTGTAATGCAGACTTGGAGTGGTTCTTTAGTCACACTGCCTTAGGTGCAAGTGGCACGAAAAAAACCTGCTATTAAAATACTTCTTGCTAGATATCATGGGCATACACGCTGTAACATGAAGTAGGAGATAAAAGACTTTCTCGCTCTTTTGCATTTCTGTTTGAAATTTCTTTTATGCTTTTCAATGTGACTGGTATTGCTTTAGATAGTAATAAGTATTCCCACAGAATTTAGCTGAAGATTGACTTACACTAGAGGAAACTATTTTAAGATGTTGGATCTGACTTCTTTTGAGACATGAAGAACTGTCTTTTAAATACTTGCTTCTTTGAAATTAATGTAAGAAAATAAAAGTACAAACTTAAGTGTTAAATCAGGGTTTGTTTGTTTGCTTATAACTACTACTAAGGTTCTCTTGCTAGTCCTGAATTTGTCTGTGTGTGCAATTAACTCTCAACTCTTCTTATAGGCAGTTACCAGGCAAAGCTTTGAAACTGAAGACTTTAGAGCAGCTCTAGAAAATGGAGTCCTGTTGTGCGAGTGAGTATTGATGTATCTCTGTAAAAACCTTTCAGGTTAACATTAGCTGGCCTCTTTCCTTCCTGGCCTCTGAATTTTTTTTTTTTTTTTTTTTTTTTT